GTATATATATATATATAAATAACGCGCGCGCGCGCGCGCGCGTGTGTGTGTGTGTGTGTGTGTGAATCTATTTCTTTATAATGTTCCATATAATGTATAGCAAATTTTGTTTTTATTTAAGAAGATATTACTTGCGTTCGTATGATATAAATCTTTTCATTGTTAATAGAACAATAATATGGAGATTTCTTATCGACTGAAGAACGAAGGATTTTTGTCTTTTAAGAGATCGTTGATCTGTCGATTCGAAACATTTTGAAACCTTCTATACCGACTATATTTGATATAAAATTGTACAATTTCTTAATATGTGTAAAAATTATTTGTTTTCGTAATCTTCTTTAATTTTTTAAATTTCAACGTTAGTTAAATAAAAATAGAGGAATAATCAAAACTTTTGTTTTAGAATTAGGAGAAGAATTTCTATAAAACATATCACTCCGTTACAATATCTTCGTCAATTTAAACTAAGATAAAAATTTTAAGCTATACTAATGGTTAATAAAAAAAGAAAAACGAAAGTTTTGAAATCAAATATTCAAATATTCTTTGTAGAACATTTGACTTTTCCGCCGCGAAATTCATCTGATCGTGAAGAAATAAATAAAAATATACATGCGGATGTACATATAGGGTATTGTTGCGGCTGGTATGACAGGATGGGTGGCGCTAGAGACACCGAGGAGAAGCGAGCTCGAATGTGCAACGGACAGTGTAGCAGGGTGAAGGGTGAAGGATATGCGAGAGGGTGAGAGGTGCGGCCCTTGGGAGTTTGCTGTACATGAGAATGGGTCGGACGCGGGACGATCGCGATTAACATTCCGGCCGCTAGCTTGCTGTTCGCGCGGCGCTTTCATTAATTCCAGCGTATTGATTCCACGGATTGATGAATGGCCGCCGATAGCGATTCCACGCGCTCGCTACCCCTTCTTCTCCCCTATGCCTCTCCTTCCTCGTCCCTCGCGTATAAATTCAACCTCTCGCAGGATTTGAACTCAATTCCCGCCCCGTAAATTTCCCTTTATGTATCCTCCTCTGAAGTGCAAGTATCTGAATCCTATTGACGTGAACGACGTACTTTTCACAGTTTCACACCTCCTTTCTTTTTATCTCTCTTTAATTTAATAGTAACAAAATATGCAAAATCAATTATACGTTACAGTTGATCTCTTGGAGTATTCTGGAATGTTCAAATTTTGATGAAGTATATTAATTTTCAAAATTTAATATTATATAAACGAAAAGGAGATAATACCGTGTATTATTTGTAGAACAATTGTCCTTTCTTTTTATAAAATGATGTGATATATTAATTGTGCCAAATCCAAGATAGTTGTACATATTTTAGGCCTTGTTTAGTGGTGACATCGACCGGAAGGATCATAAACCATCTGATTATTTAAGGATCTAAGAAGTGTATAATATTGTCGGCAGATGGCGATGGTGATAGCACGGAAGAAGAGGAAAAAACGGGGTGGAGCATGTCTGACAGCTGGGTGGGTTCGGGGCCAAGGTGATTGAAAACAGGGTGGAGCGTCATGTGACGCCATGGTTGGATATGGAAGTGACGTCACATAACTACGATGGCCTCTAGTTAGCAAAATGGCCTCTGGATAGAAGTTTCTTTGTCTCGCAATCTCTTATCTATTATCTCGATGTAATTAAAAAAACACAGTTGAGGTACCAATGATGTTCTGTCAGTCGTTCATCTCAGTAGAAGCAAATTGCATTCATTACTCTTTTGATTCTAAGAAATAGGAAAAATAAATATTAAAACAGAAATAATAAATATATAATAAAATAAAAGAGAAGATAAACTTTGATGCTTATTATCGTTTTCATTATAAGATGTTATAAGAAAAACAATAAAAAAAGTGTTAAGCGATCTCTGTATATGTATCATTGGTTGATGTAGATAAAAAGATCGGATGAAATAAATGACGTCGTTGCTGGCAACCGTATCCCTAAAGATTGAGCCATAAATGGCACTTAGAATTTACAGTTATAGAACTCGTGTTGATCGTTCACACCTCGTAAAACAGTCGTAAACTAAGCGCGTTATAAACTGAACGTACTCCTGATGTTGCGTACACCAGCGGAGTTACATTAAAAAGTTATGAACTCCTGACCTTGTACTATGTAACACTTAGTGCGTATAAGATGGCAGAGTTCTTGACGTGTTTATGTTCAAGTGATATTCTGTAACCTATTTTGAGATACAAAGAGAAATAAAAATTAACGCACATTTAATAGGCATACAAAAAGGATTAGAAACCTATAATATAATATAACCAACAAGTAGTATATAATTACTAATAGCCACTGTTATAAATCGTTAAGCTCAATTATTTATATTGTAGCTAATATCAGGATTATTTTTTATTGCACGAATAAGATGTTAATGTGGTGATTGACTACTTTCATGGCCCACACACTACAAGCAATTACATAAAATGGGCGCGAAGTGATCGCAGTAATAGCTATCATTATATATATATAACATATAATTTGGAACGAGCTAGTTCATAAAGAAACAAGATTCACAAGAAACATGCAATTCATATCAAGGTTATTAAATTAAAATTGATGCATATTCATGAGATATCATATTTGGGGATACTTTGTTATGTAAAATGATCTGTCCTACAGAAACAGAGAATGACAATATTTTTTTACCTGTATATTATATCATAATCGAATTTATATGCATTCGATATTGCTGTCATATGATTTATTCGCTTGGCGGAAGTTCTCGGGCATTAAACCTGTCTGGGCTAGCAACCATTGTACAATGAATTTACATTTTAACGCGTTATTATACATATATCATAATATTTAATAATGTTGGAAATTATGCATATAACAACGATAAAAGAATGATTTAATTAGATCGATTAGCGTTTCATTGTTGTAAAATGCAATATTAATTTATTATTAATTATATAATAAATATAAATTTAAAAATCCATAGATTTTGCTTTCATGGACAAAATCAAATCTTATAAATCGTCTCGATTTCTTTTTTGATAAATGAATATAATATTTGCGTTTTTCAGGACATAGAAATTAAATAACGAAAGTACATCAAATAACACATACAGAATATAAAAATCGTAGAAAAAATATATCATTAAACGATCACGCTAGATTTAGCAAGAAACATG